TCAAATTATACAAGGAGATTGGGGCTCGAGTGCGTGGTCGTCCCAACGGGATTACCTTTCACAATTTTAGTAATAATATGAATATTAGTTGTTCAGTGATCATTTTAGTTCGGCACCATTATTATGTGGACGACATGATCGCTTATTACTTACTAAAACCAAAAGCCTATTCCGATCCACAATTGTAAACGATTATTAATCAAATTTCAGCTGAATATTAACATAAATTGATGAATTTTTATAATTAACGCACTAAATTAACATAGCCTGGTAACAAAAATGATTAACTTAAACCCTATTCCGTCGTAATAACGGTCAACTGATAGTATTATTGTACAAAATATAAATCCTGCCTCACTGGGACTGATCCGTGTGAGCCATATTTCAACTTGAGCTGATTCACAAAGTGATATTTTATTAACTGTGCTACTATATAAGAATGTATGTTCCAATTTAATCCGGCTCGAAGGTCCAAAATGATGTTGTACATACAAACAAAATTGTGAAATTTTTAGTATTGACATAAGCTTGAAAATAGTTATGGTTTGCTTCAATTTGTTGTATTTTAATCTGACTCGAAGGACCATATTGGGTATTACTATTTGTGTAAGCTTTTATCAAACACACTTTATGCTTCTCGATTAAATACGCCGCTAATAGAATATTACTTTGTCTACACTCACTGATCCATCGACACTTATAACTTTTTTTAATATACGTGTAATTTGCAAGCAGAGAGCCCCATTAGAAAATTATTTTTAAGTAATATGCAAAACAAAGTGTACAGCGATAGATAACACTCCGAGCGAACATGGCACGTAACCCCGGGGGGCGAGCTAATGCTGTTTGGAAGCACTTAAAATATTCCACTAATATCCAATTAAAATAAGATAATAAATAAATCATTACAAAATTTTTATAACAAATTACAATTTATTATGTGGTTAGTTTTACAATTTATCATTTTACAATCTCCACAGACCAAGCAGTTTTTTATCACTAATACAACTAAAGAAACAAAACTAGACATTAACCCGAACCCGCCCGGAGTCAAGAACAGTTAACACTAAATCAACATATAAAAGTTATTGCATTCTTATTGAACAAATTATAATAGTGGTTGAGGTTCTAAAACCGTCTTAACACTTACAGCATGGCCTGAACATGTCTGCATTCAACGTTCAACCAAATACAGCGCACAAGCTATTTCCGTATCACTATACACAATTAATATTACTTTAAGAACAAGAATCAAGTGAAAATCTTAAATCCTGAACGTCTGATCAGTCATATTCAGGCCATGCATTTTGAATGTAAAAATACACTTGTATAACTCCGCCAGACAACCATAGACAACATGCAGTGCCTCCTTGCACAATAAGCATAGCTTAAAACAAGAGTGTTATACGAGTTAAAATTAAAATTTATTTACAAAATTCGGTTGAAACGCACTTATATTAAGTAATGATATGGTATAAAATAGTTTTACACGCGCGGGGGACATGTCCAGGAGGAATGGAAAAATCAGACCACGTGGTCTCGACGCAAAATGTAAGACATTCCTTAAAACTCAAAAACTCAAGCGTTAGTGATCTGCGATGAGTCGTGGTAACGAAATTTACTTATATAAAGATTTTGAATTGAATTTAAATGTGGGGATATAGTGCTGGCCATATTTATGAAGCTTTACGTGACTTGCGAGAGGTTATGGGACCAAAATATCGAAGTGTCGCTGCGTGATAGAGTTCACAATAAGTTACTCAGACGCGAGGAATTTGAAATGAGCTACGTCTAACTTCTTGCTTATAGCTCTCGTATGAAATAAATACATTAAAAATATACATATATAAAATTTAAAAAAAAATCTATATAATTAAACGTAAAATTTACCTCTATTTAATAGGTATTTAGGATTCTGTACTAAAAGCAGTGAAATTATTAAAATAAAAAAAAGAAACAGCGGAACAGAGCATCCATTTTAAATGTGTATAAAGACAAAATGGCGTCAATTGCGCGGGAACGTCGTCGATCACGTGACCGCCGCCATTTTGCGTCAAGACGTGTATAACAACGAAGTGTATGAATGACCACTAGCACGCTACTTACCTACCCGCGGCAACGCTCTCACGGCTACATACATCATTGTAACTGCAGTCAATTTAAATGTTTTAACGACGCCGTGAATGAATAAGTTCGTATTTCGACTGTCATTGGTAATTCACTCTACAACATCGTTATTTTTTTATATCATAGATGACAAGTAAGCTTGCGGCTCACCTGATGGTGAGTGATTACCTCCGCCAGAAAAACGACCAGGGGAATTGCAATTAAAAAAAAATGTTACTTCATGGTTTTAATTTAAAAAAAAAAGGTATGTAACTGTCAGAGCGCAACGCACACACTCACACAAGCCAAGCCGAGTCAAAACTATCCACAAACTATTAACAATTGTAAAAAATATTGTATCTATTCACGTACGAGAGTTACTGTCCCAAACTTTATATGTCAGTTTTATTATAAACATCACTATTTAAATATCTTTGTATATAAGAACTAGCTGTACCCGCGACTTCGTCCGCGTGGAATTTAACAAAAAAGTTAGAGATTTTTCTAAAACAAAAGTAGCCTAAGTAACTCCTTATTACATCAGCTACCTGCTAAAAAAAAGTCCCGTCAAAGTCGGTCCAGCCATTTCAGAGATTAATCTGAACAATCAGACTGTCAGACAAAAATGATAAAAAATGATATTTTGGTGTATGTACGTATTATATTCATATGTATGTAGTAAAAAGCGATTATTTCAATATTACAAACAGACACTTCCAATTTTATTTATATGTATAGAGTATAGATTACGTGTCACGTTGTTTGTCCGCGATGGACTCCTGAACTACTGAACCGATTGCAAATTTGATTTGCACATTGCACACAATTTGATCCAACTTGAAAGATAGTATAGCTTACATCTCAATTTATAGTCGCAATATTATTTTATTCAAGAACCTCAGCCGCAGCAACGCGTGGCCGGGTCTGATAGTCTAAATATATATAACTCAAAGGTGACTGACTGACTGACATAGTGATCTATCAACGCACAGCCCAAACCACTGGACGGATCGGGCTGAAATTTGGCATACAGGTAGATGTTATGACGTAGACATCCTCTAAGAAAGGATTTCGATAAATTCCACCCCTAAGGGGATAAAATAACGCGAGCGAAGCCGCGGGCAAAAGCTAGTGTCATATATATTTGTAACATTTTTAATAAAAAAAAAAATTCTGTTCGTCTTTTTATTTTTTCCTAAAATGGTGGCCGCACCCACCCCAGCGCCCTACACACAGTCCCACACTGACATTAAGTTTAGTAAAGTAATTCTCTGTACGCAGAATTATCCACACATATTGATGCATACTTTACTTGCATGTACTTGTATGGGAGACATCCAACTTCAATTACACTCATCCAATTTGTATGGTATACAATTGTTAAAAATCGTCAGGGAATTAATCACACGCTGGAACCTAGGTGGTCTCGGACAGTGCAGTTTCAGAGGATCTTCCTCCCGCGTACACTTACATTGTGGAACGAACTACCTGCCGAGGTTTTCTCACGAGACTACAGCATGGGGTTTTTCAAGAAGGGTATATTAAGGTTTCTTAAGGGTCGGCAATACGTGTCACTCCTGGTGTCTCAGGGATCCATAGGCTACGGTAACCGTTTACCATCAGACGGGCCGTATGCTCGTTCGCCACTATTGTAGTATAAGCAAGTGTTTAGTATGCATTAACATGTATAGTTAATAATAAAAATCTGTATTATTGCACTGGCAGAACATTACCATCGGGCTGGACCGGAGCAGCGCAGACAGAAGCTACACAACTCAAAATTTTATATCAACAGTTGTTCACGCACTGGATTTTCATTTAATGTTAGACATAGACACCTATATAAATATACATTGTAAATAAACTGGGTTTAAGAAAAAGTAATTCAATTGAGTTTCTTGCCAGTTCTTCTCAATTGGATCTATATACTGAACTGGACGGTAGGGAAAAATATTAAAACATAAAATTTTACGTTCATAAGCGGCTAAAATATACGATTTTAGATTTCATTTGATATCATCACCCGGTTTGATCTGATTAACTTTAGATAATCTGACAGGAATCAGTGTAAGATGACCTACTTACTGCATCAACCACAAATATTGGGATAAAGTCAACCCAATTATGATAATACCCATGAAAGCATGTAAACAAAACTATGGCCTTTTGCTTGATATACATTGAAGATCTCGTGGTCATATATATATTATTAATATTATAAAAGCGAAAGTTTGTAAGTATGGATGTTTGTTACTCTTTCACGCAAAAACTACTGATCGGATTTTGATGAAACTTTACAATAATATAGCTAATATATCAGAATGACGGATAGGCTATATTTTATATTGAAATTTAACGCGGGGCAAAAGCAAAAGTCAACTGTCTGCTCACCGCCGGCCCAGTTCACGCGAGCACCGATCCCGTTTACCAAACACGTCCACATTGCGATGCATTGCCAACACCACGCAGTCACAAGCGAGCAGTTAAAGAATGCACACCTATTCACAGTAAATCACAAACAAACCCGGCGGCGATTCATATAGCAACACTTTGTTTATTTGATAAGTAACTATGAATATAAATATATAATAATACTAGCTGACCCGGCAAACGTTGTTTTGCCATATCAATTAAAATCGCTATTAGAAAATAGGGGTTGGTGATAGAAGGGTGAAAATATAGGGTTGTATGTATTTTTAATGACATATAATAAAAAAAATTTGCCCAAACAAAATAATGTTAGGGGTCGACAACCCTTATCACTTAGGGATATAATGAAATAGATAAAATAGATAGGAGACGATTCTCAGACCGATTTGAAGGAGTATGGTAGCTAACATTGTGACACGAGAATTTTATATATAAATAAAAAGCTTATAAAGTTGAAGAGTTAAAGAGTTAGTTTGTTTGAATGCGCTTATCTCAGGAACTACTGGTTCGAATAGAAAAATTCTTTTTGTGTCGGATAGTCCATTTGTCGAGGAAGGCTTTAAGCTATATAACATTACGATACGACCAATAGAAGCGAAGCAATGAAAAATATTGCAAAAATTCATATTTGAGGGCTTCAGTTGCGTGCGCTACGCAAACAAAGCGGCGGGCACAGCTAGTATATATACAAAACAAGTGTGTATTGTTATGTATCGCCACCGAGCGTCACTCGCACGCCTACCCACACAGGTTCACTATATGTATACGGACAGACACACACACAGAACTAAGGCCGCGGACTATGAATGTACACTTAGAACTAATATTTATAAAGTTGTGATCCAACCGGCCACGGTAACTCCAACATTACAAACAGTACTATACAACGCTGGCGGCCCCGGCGCCTCTCGGCTGTTCATATACAAGCTACACATGTGACTTTCATTCAATATTATTCATTATTCAAATATACGTACATTGTAAAATCGACTTTAAACATAACACTATAGAGTCGAAATTTCAATGATTGTTTTTTTTAAATCCACCATTTGGTAACAAAATATACATACATTGTAAAATCAACTTTAAATACAAACACTATAAATTCGAAATTTCAATGTATGTTTTTAGAGATATTGCAATTTAAAATTAAGGGTTCTATGCATACATTGTAAAATTTACGACTTCACGACTTTAAACCTAACACTATAAAGTCGAAATTCAAATAACGGTATTTAAAAAATCAAGACTATCAACCAATTTGGTTAAAACATATATTACATTGGAAAATCGACTTTAACCGTAGCATAATAGAGTCGAAATTACAATGTATGTTTTTAGAGATAATATAATTTAAATTAAACGTTCGATATTTACTTTTTTTAATGGGCAAGGACAAAACTGTATACAGCCATATGTACGGGAGCCGCCAACTGTGACACACTAAAGCGACGAAACGAAATAATTAATAGAAATTCATATTTTGGCAATCGCACTCGAAGCGTCCTGGCACTTACACTACCGCACTAGACCTTATCCGCTTCACATAAGATTCATATTCGCGTACCGGTAACACTCCTACATATACCTCTACCATATAAATATATAATTCTCAGCGTTTCCTATAAAACTGTCTCGGTGTAAGAAAGCTTTACATACCAGCTACGTGTAGTGCCGTATTGGGATCCGTCTCTATACACAAGCTAAAATAAACCGTATCCCGTTGTACAGTAGAGTCGAAATTTGCGCTACAAATTTTAAGGTAAGAAACACCGCAAGTACATTATAAAACTCTAAATTCGTGTGAAAGAGACAACAACACGACGTCGAGACGGAATGCTTGTAGAAGCCAGTTTTTTTTATATGACAAATTATTGCTTATACGCGCACACTCGTATACACAAGACCAAGCTTCGTGCGCGGTAGTGCCGGCGCCGCGTCCGGATGTGTCCGGCACCGTCCGGCACTGTCCGGCCGCGTCCGGGACCGTCCGGTCACGTACGGCGTCGTCCGGCACCGTCCGGCTACCGTCCGGCCGCGTCCGGCTAGGCGTCCGGCTCGCAGGCGCGGCCGGCGGCGTCGAGTCACTCCGAGTTGTTGAAGTATTCGGACGCGTTCCCTCTGCATATTGGACACGTTCGATTTGACTGTCCGGACAAACATACACGTGTTAATACATCAAATTCATTATTATTTTTTGATGATACAGATTGTAGTGCGTAGTGTTCAGCAGTGTTTCAGCGTTCTGAATGAGTAGTAGAATTTAAAAAATTACATTAGGTATATATTTCATTCAATTACTCAAATATAAATATTAAATTTATTTGAATAAACATAATTTCTGTTTAGTATCCGGACGGTAGTGTGTAGTCGTGAAGTGTAGTAGTAATAAGAGTCATATATTTTTTAAACCTTCATCAGTATATTCAAACTATACGCTCATGAAGGAAAGTAGTTAGTGTAGGTTTGACTTCCGAATTAGTGTAGTGTAGTGTATTGTAGTGTGATGTAGAGCGGTTTAGTGTGGGGTAGGGTGGTATAGTGTGATGTAGGGACGCTGTAGAGTGGTGTAGTGTGATGTAGGACGCTGTAGAGTGGTGTAGTGTGGTATAGGAAGCTGTAGGGTGATATAGTGTGGTGAAGAACGCTGTAGTGTGGTGTAGGATGCCGTAGCGCGGTATAGTGCGGTGTAGGCCGCTGTAGCGCGGTATAGTGCGGTGTAGGCCGCCGTAGCGCGGTACCGTTGCGGTGTAGAGCGCCGCAGTAGGACTCACCCGCAGCCACTTGTCGACGCACTTGGCGTGGAACTCGTGCGCGCAGGGCAGCACGCGCAGCGTCTGGCGCGGCTCGAACTCCGCCATGCACACCACGCACGAGGTCTGCTGCCGCGCGCGCGGCGCGTGCGGCTGCAGCTTGTAGCTGGGCAGCAGCTCGATCTGATGCCGCGCCAGCCCGCGCGGCTTGGCCTCCCCCAGCCGCTCCGCCAGCGACAGCAGCGCCTCGTAGTTCTCCGTCTCGGGGGAGGCGGGGGGCTCCTCCCCGCGGGGCTCCGCGAACGGGGACAGCGGGAACATGGCCAGCAGGTTCAGGAACACCTGCGGCGACGGACGCACGGGTCACGGTCGGTGGCCGAACGATCGGTCGCCAGTGTCGTGGTATAAAAAAGTAACCATATACCAGTGAAAATATCGTTAGCAGGTTCAGGACCACCTGCGGCGCACGCCGGTCACACGAGTTATACGACAGTTGTAAGTTACGAGGTTGCCAGCCGATTAAAAACTGCTTGGTTGCCGACGTCGTAAAATAATAAAAAAAAGTAGTCATGTAACAGTGTAAATATCGCCATCAGATTCAGAAACAGCTGCAACGCCATACGCACGGATCACGATTGGTGGCCGAATGAGTCGGTTGCCAGCGCGGTATAAAATACACGCCGGTAATATGTTACGGTTATCCGCCATAACCGTAACCTCATAAACCGTAACCTGGTTAACTATGCTGGTTACCAATGTCGTAGTATAAAAAAAAGCGTTAATTACAAATACAAACATGTTTTTTAATATAATATAGTACATGTTGTATGGGTGTTGTATGAGTGTTGTATGAGTGGTCACCTGGTAGGTGGGCGGCAGCGGCGGCGGCAGCGACAGCGGCGGCGCCACGTGCAGCTGCTGCACTAGTACAGTATATGTTGTATGGGTGTTGTATGAGTGTTGTATGAGTGGTCACCTGGTAGGTGGGCGGCGGCGGCGGCGGCAGCGACAGCGGCGGCGCCACGTGCAGCTGCTGCACTAGTACAGTATATGTTGTATGGGTGTTGTATGAGTGTTGTATGAGTGGTCACCTGGTAGGTGGGCGGCGGCGGCGGCGGCAGCGACAGCGGCGGCGCCACGTGCAGCTGCTGCACGTGCGGCAGCGCGCCCACCAGGCCCCCGCCACCCTGACACAGGGAAACAAACGCCTTTAGATTAACTAGAAACATTACAACGATAAAACACACGCCCACGCCTCCATTCAAACGGGGATCGAAATTACGACGACCTAAATTCGTATCCGTCAGACAGGAGTTGACCTTCAGCCGCTCCATAAGTCTGTCCTTCGGTTTGGAGTGCCATCTGCACTCGCCCCTATCGTCCGGTGAAGCTATAAAGGCCATCTGTGGCCAACAGCATTAGTTTGAAAAAAAAAATTACACTTACACGTGCATGCAAACGTACAGGCACGTGAGCACGCACGTGCCCGTACCAGTAACAACAAGTAATACAATCAGATATATTATCGACTATCCACGACGCGTTCATGGTCGGAAATAAAAATAAACACATGCAATATTATGTGTGTTTTCCTAAGTCTCATTCCATATAAAATGTGTGATATTACTTCCGGTTTTTCAAGAGTAGTGGGACATAAAATGCTGCACGCACACACGTGCACAAGCACGCACGCGAATACGTGCGTACGTAAATACGCACACGGGCGGGACGATAAATAAAACAAGGGGGTAATCAGGGACATTACTGAAAATAGACGGTCGAACAGCTGACGTTTTAGTGAAGGTAAGTTGCAGTTCAGTGGGTGGGTCATTTATTTTAAATTCAAAAATAGACTTTATGCGCTAATACTTAAAGTTTATTTTCAGTCGCTAACAAGTGGCAGAATTGAGGAGAGGACTCTGTCTTGGGCCAGTTCATCTGAGTTGTTACTCAGTCATCGTACTTTGGACAAGTATTGTGGTAGTGTCGAAGTGAGTATGGTGTCTTTATTTTTTATTTAAAAATAGACTTTATGCACTATAACTTAAAGTTCATTTCAGCGGAGTGTAAGAAGAGAGTAGGCTCTGGCTGGGGCCAGTTGATTTGAGTTGTTATTCAGGTAATGTATTAGAGGTGGTGTGTGGGCGTGTGTCACCTGGGGGTGCAGGTGCAGGGCGTGCGGGTGGTGGTGGTGCTGGTGGTGCTGGTGGTGGTGCCAGCGGTGCGGGTGGCGCACGTAGGGCCGCGCGGCGCGGGCTCCGGAGCCCACCACGCCCACGCCGCCGCCCACGCCCACGCCCACGCCGCCGCCGCTCCGCCGCTGGAACCACACCAACACGGATCTTTTTATATATATACTTCATTGCAAGATATAGAACTCAAAACAAACTTTAACAATTGATTAAGAAAAAAGAGAATTAAGTCAAACCTCTACTAAAGTAAGTGTATTCTTATAGTCCTCTATTGAGACTTTTGTTTTTTTGTGCTATTTTGCTGTTCATACTGCCTGCTGCCTGCTTGCTTCCAAGCAAAGTCCTAATCTAATCTTTTCTATAAAATAAGTGTATAACTCCTCGAAAGTAAGCGTGGTATCTCCAAGTGTACGCTTAAGGTGATACTTATCAGATTTCACTTCAGCTTCCCACGTGCCCCCAAAACTTTGGAGCGCCAGTTGTAGCGCCAGCGCCAGTATATATTCTCTATCATCCAACAAAATTCTCAATTCTTCCGGAAGTTCGTTTCTAGCCTATTTCTACATCTCAAATAGGTTTCTCTCTGTTATATAAATTAGTTCCATGATTACTCCACAGCTCCTAACATCGATCTTTTAAATGACGAAATGAAACTTTCTGTCATTATGTCACCAACTAGCTCGAGGTGGATAGCTTTTGTTGTCATGCAAATAAATAGGCATATATAGACTAGCTGTGCCCGTGACTTCGTCCGCGTGGTTAACAAAAACACTATCGATATATACTTTTTAGGCAACTTGAACCGTTTACGCAGAGCACGCAACGGAAGCCCTAACATATATATAATTTTCCCCGTTATTGCAACATTGTTTACTGATGCTCCGCTCCTATTGGTCGTATCGTAATGTTATATAGCTTAAAGCCTTCCTCGACAAATGGACTATCCGACACAAAAAGAATTTTGCAGTTCGAACCAGTAGTTCCTGAGATTGGCGCGTTCAAACAAACAAAGACTTCAGCTTTATAATATTAGTATACATTTATATACTTTAACTCCGTGTCCTTTGCTCGGGAATACATTGTACGGAAATACTCCTACAACGCGTTTTTCTATAACATAGAACCAATCTACGGTGTTATAAGGGCTTTACTTATGGGTCCTTGAACAACACACAAGATCCTCGCTCGTTCTTCTTGTGATGAGACAGCTTTCCAAATGAGGGATAGATTAAAAAAATGTTATGACTATTAAAAGGTCCTTAAATTAAGTTTATTTGAATAAATGATTTTCTATTCTATTTTAATGGTATGAGTAGACTCACGTGATGCTGTGTGAGGGCGTGCCGCGCGTGATGCGGCATCAGATCGAGGGGAGCGCCTCGCGCCTGCAACCACACAACATACACATACATACACACAATCCACACTTATACCAACAATCATGTTCATAAAAAATTCTTCATTCGATGATGTGATGATAACGAATTGAAGATGAAGATGGCGCTGTGTGAATTGTCCTGAGATATTTTTATTATATTTTAAACTTATATCGTTACGAGCTACTCGCCTCGGAATCGCACGGGTGTACATGTATTATATATATAAACCTTCCTCTTGAATCACTCCACCTATTGAAAAAAACGCTTCAAAATCCAGATTTAGGCATATATAGGGACACAGACAGCTAGTTTTATACTATGTAATGATGCCGATTACTAATTATTGTGTCGACACAGTTAGTTATTGTTAAATGTTACGTTACCTCCGGTGCTAGTAGTAGCGGCGCGTGGTGGAGCTCCGGCGGCTGCAGCGGAGACAGCGCCCCCTCGCCGCTGCCCAGCAGCTCCAGGCGGCCGGGCTCCGCGCGCTGCCAACGCACATACGTATTTAAAAGGGGATGTGTATACACGTCCCTTTAAGGTTTAGGTCTATGACCTACCTAGTCGAGAATCTGGGAGCTTGAAATTATATAGATTGACAGACAGAATACAAATGTTTTTATTATTATTTTTACTATGACTACTCTAATGCTGTTGGCTGCAGCTGGACTTTACAGCTTCACTGGCCCAGGTGGCTTCAGGTGGCGAGTGTATATGGCACTCCAAATCAAAGGAAGGAGTTTGAGTTATATATATTTAGATTTGTATGGACCTGAAGTGTGAGTTAATTTTATGCTTGACGGAAGATCGTGGAATCTGGCCAGCGCTCCGAAAATATGTCTGAGTTATAATTCTCCGGCTCGAAGGACCAAATGTTAAAAAACTTAACATTAAATATTTTATTTCTAAGAAATAGTAATGATAACAAGATAACGGTGCCTGATGGTAAATGGTAACCGTCGCCAATATATATGAACAGCACTATAGACATCATTTTGTTAAAAATGTGTATCTTTTTTTCACACAGTGTCTGGAACACTGTATTCAAAAGTATACACATCTCTCTACTTAGTAAACACGTTGTGTATCCTTTAGGAACACGTCCTCTATACATCTATTACACAACTGAAAGCCTTGGCCTGTAGCATTTTTACAATGTAAATAATCTTGGAATCGGTGATTTTACAAAAAAATAATAGATTTTATTTTTAAACGGTCACTTAGGATCTGGCGCTGAGGGTGTTAAGGGACGGATTGACAAAATCGTTACGCACCTGCGAGTTGGTGAGGTAGTGGGGGTGCGGCGGGTGCGGGGGGGAGGCGAACGGCCCCCTCGGGGGCGGGGGCGGCGCGAAGCTCCCGTGGTACTGCAGCCCCGCGTACACGCCGCCCATCTATACACACGCACACACGCTCACACAACAGCGCCGCAGACAGCGTCACTGTGCGCGCCACGCCGCACTACACTAGTGCGCGCCAGCGTTCAATTTACACTTTTTTTTGATTGAACAACACTTTTGAACTTCAATATGCATATCAATATACTTTTGAACCAGGATAACTATGCGAGACATTTATTTTTATTTATGTAATACGATATTTAAAATATTTGTTATTGTTTTAAATATAATTATTATATTTGTATTGTTTTTTTTTACAGCTGTGTTTTCATTTGAATAAAACACGGAATTTACAATGTAATATATAGTATAAAAATATATATATATATGTCGCAGAATCAACAAAGACGCTCAATTGATTAACTTCAACTTAGAATAGCTCCATCTGTTATCGTTGGTCGGAAACGTCAAGGTCGCTTGGGTGAGGTCGGTACAGGGTAAAGAAGGTTTGTTCAAGTCTGCCGTCCACACTAGAGGAGCAGAGACAGGGGGGAGGCGCATCCCGTATTCCGGTGCGTCTTCCCCACGGTGGGCGAAGGTGGGGGAACTGGGAAGAGTTCCCCCCACGCGTTGAGGAGGGCCCGCTTGCGATTGCCAGTTCGATCCCGCGACCCTGGCACTATGACGGCGAGGAGGAATATCGTAGGGTTTTTGATAAGTAGGAATCTCACAGTACCCGTCCGTCCAACCCCTGAGATGGCCGGTTCTCAATGAGAGATTTACCCCACGTAAAAAAAAAGGGTAAAGCACGTTTAACGCGACCGCGTCTCGGCCGAGTACGGTAGCGAACCCGAGACGTCGGCGACTTATCGTGTATGAGCCGAACACCGGGGGGTTTTGGTGGGTCGGGTCCCACAGTATTCGTCCGCACATTTCATAAAGGCGGATGTTTCGGTACTGGAACCTTACCTTTCCCATAAAAAAAAAAAGGGTAAAGCACAAGGACAAAGCTGCGCTACGTCACTGTTGAGTAGGGCGCGAGCGCGAAAGCTTGTTTTGCCACCCTGTACCAAACTTGCCGCGTTTCCCTAAGTGTAATCCATTTTCATCTGGCCGATTATTGGTGACTAGCTTTTGCCTACTGATTACTAATTAATGAATTATACTCCAATGATGAGATACAATTTAATTTTAAAAATGTTCCCATATTACAAATTTTATTATTTAGCCAAATTTTCTCCTTTTCCACATTAATGGCAATAAGTCATTATTTATGGTAGCTACAGTTATGAGTTGTACTATTGTAAAATATACTTGAAACAGACATTATTTTAAAATTATTGGTAACACATGTAATTATATATTTTTTTATGGCCAAGAGGTTTGAACTTTCATAAAAAAAATTTTTTTTGCATATTTAAAAAATAAATTAGTTTGGGCATTAATAAAAAAAAAACTGCAATAGTTAGTCATACTATTAACTTTCTGTCTATCAGCACAGTTAGTGTATAATAAGAAAACAACATAAAACTAATAGAATTCATTAATTTCTGGTCACAGTGATCAGGACAGTAAAATAAGATAAAAAAAAATTACTTCTTTAAAATGAAGATAAAAAAGGCACTACTTGTGATATATTTTGTTTCGTATTTTTTTAGGACGGCCATAAGTTTAACTATAAGACGTTTCAAGGTTAACCATTCATTACCGGACACCCTGTATATAGTATGAACATTGTTTATATTATTAACCGGGTCTTAACACGAATAATTTTACGGTTAATAAAGGTATTTACCTCTCTCGACGTTTCGACTAGGTCGCACTAGCCGTGGTCACGCGCTGTCATATTAAACAAAGTTTAAAAATAATTGTAATTTATTCATTTTACATCACACAGTGTTTGATGTTTTCTACATAATTTTATTAAAATAGTATTATTGATAAACATTATCAATGTATTACGATATGAATTAAACCCCTTTTATCTTTTTGAGTGATAATTAAATATTCAGCATATTTAATTATCACTCAAAAATTGTATATATCATTTCCTAATTTTTTTATTAATAAACAAAATATTAAATATAAATAATTTTTATTCAAACAAACACATTACAAGCACTTTTGAATAGTCATATTTTGATTCTACCACTCATTCGGAACGCAGACTCATCACAAGAAGAACGAGCGAGAAACTTGCGAGTTGTTTTTAAATAAATGTTTTCAGAATTACATTTTTAAGAATTTATACTATAATTATTATTGTTGCTAGCAACAAGTAATCATTTTATGTTTATGTCTATGGTAATACCATGGCATGAGGGCTAGAGGGTAGCACTACTGAAATCCTTTTTAATTCACTTTCTTCCACGTCTAACAGACGCTATACGTTGCTCAGTGTAATTAAGTTATTGTATAATTTAAATAGAATTGGTCCAGCAATGGTGTTTTTATCATCACCAGCCTACAGTCCACGCTCTCAACAATTATTATATATATATGTATGATATATGTTGTTGTAGAAATAAGAAAAAAAGACTTGGTAAAACGGAGAAAATATAATAATAATAGAGAACTAACATATTGACAACAGAAAGAATGAATTGAAATATCAAATCAAGAATCTAAAAAGGAACTATAAATTCAAATACATATTTAGAATATAAAATACATATCTGATTAGCCAGTTACAACATATGTATAATATTTGACTCTTTAGAGGTAGTTAGGTAGTTTGTATTGACACACTTAAACTTAAAAATGTAAAGTAACAAAAAAATTATTTAAAAGAGCAACACGCAAGTTTCTTGCTCGTTCTTCTTGTGATGAGACAGCTTTCCGAATGAGCGGTAGATTAAAAAAAATTATAACTATTCAAAAGTGTTTAAATTAAATTTATTTGATTATAAAGGATTTTCTATTCTATTGTATTCAAAAAGAGTCATTTATATATTGATATGCATATAAACTTATTATAAATCAACGATGCTACAGTTGTTTGTAATATATTGTACAGAAACGCTGGCGTACACTCTATATTAAAACTCTATATGTATCGGATATACCAATATATGTAATTTATGAAAGATATTTCAAACATTTAAATATATGGATGACTTCTATGTATATACTAGCAACACGCCCTGACTTTGCATAGCTGTAATTTATACCCTACTAGCTTTTGCCCGCGGCTTCGCTCGCGTTAATTTCTCCCGTTAGGGGTGGAATTTATCAAAATCCTTTCTTAGGGGATGCCTACGTCATAGTAGCTTTATGCATGCAAAGTCTCAGCCCGATCGGTTTAAAATTGACAAAGTTTCATACAAACTTTCATCCTCTATTTTATCTTTTTGGGGGTAGAATTAATCAAAATCCTTTCTTGGCGGATGCGTACGTCATAACATCTACCTGCATGCCAAATTTCAGCCCGATCCGTCCAGTGGTTCTGTTGGTGGTGATCTATGTTCAGATAATCGGATGTCCGGCCAATCGATGTCCGGATAATCGATGTCCGGATAATCGATGTTCAGATAATGGGATGTCCGGATAATCGATGTTCAGATAATCGGATGTCCGGATAATCGGATAAGCGATGTTCCTATAATCGGATGTTCGGATAATCAGTATTCTACTGTATATATTAAATACAATAGTTAAATTAATACATACATCAATATAATAATTGCATTTAATAATGTCTAGTAAGACAAACTCAATATTGTGTACTAAGCACTGCCGTGTCTAAACTGTGTCACCCCACCTTACATTTTCCTATTGTCATTTAGTATATAACTAGCTGTACCCGCGACTTCATCCGCGTGGAATTTAACTTTATTTTTCTAAAATAAAAATATCCTAAGTTACTCCTTATTACATCAGCTACCTGCCAAAAAAAGTCCCGTTAAAATCGGTCCAGTCATTTCACAGATTAGCCGGAACAAACAGACAGACAGACAAACATTTAAAAAAATGTTATTTTGGTCTATATACCGTATTTGTATTCATATGCATGTAGTAAAAAACTTATTTCAATATTACAAACAGACGCTCCAATTTTATATGTATAGATATATGTAAGATCAATATATTTATTATATTATATATATTATCAATATACATCGTCTCAACCAACAACATAGTATCTACCCCACAACAAAATTCAACTAATTAAAATAATCATATAGGAGATGCTTCTAGCGAAACTTTTTGGGACAATCATCACATTTCAACTCTGAGCTCCATACGTTGTGAAAATCTGCTAGATGCGTATCTTTTTTTATAAATGCTGTCTAATATATCCTCGCATATATTGAATTTACGTTAGTCTTCATTATGAATTCTTTTCTCGTGATTGTCCCTACGGTGTACAGGAAAAAACTTCTTATCACAATCTTCAATCAATTGGTAAGTGCTTATCTGATGGACGCTTTGGGAATCTCGATCCATAGTCCCTTTACTCCCAAAACCGATACCACACGTATCACGAATATAGTCTCTACGTCTATGTTAAGTTAATATTATAAAGCTGAAGAGTTTGTTTGAACGCACTAATCTCAGGAACTACAGGTTCGAATTGAAAAACTATTTCTGTATTGTATAGTCCTTTGAGCTATATAACATTACGCTACGACCAGTAGAAGTTGAGCAAAAATATTGCAAAAGGTCTGGAAAGGAACAGACGAAGTCTACACGGGTCAGACAGTTTAGTAATACATAGAAGTCATCCAGATAAACAAAACTATACTACTTGGTAATAATCTTTACTGAAATCGATGTCACATTAAATATTGTTATATCCAGTTGTACGATATTAAATAAACATAATCCTGATACCAAAACATAAAACAGAACGTGGCGTGGAAGCAAGATTCTCGTCTCGTCCTTTTATACATGACATATATACTATATTGAATATATATAGTGAGTGTATATATAGGTGAGCTAAATAAACGGCTACTGATGTCAGAAGTAGTATATGCCAGTTTTTTTATTGGGTTATTTGGACTATTGTCAGATGTAGGTCGGAGAGTTACAGGGTCTACAAAGCACCTGTA